TACGCGTGGCCATATGAGAGAATTTCGAGAGGGAGAGCGGACTCTCCCCACTCTCGGCCATACCAGGGTATTTGGGGGCAATTTATGGAAAGTAAAACATATGAGGGTAGTTTACGCGTCAACTGAAATCCTACGATATAGGGAATACAACAATACAATAATCTAAGTATTTAATAGTTGTTTAATAAAAGTATGAACAATCATTTTCGATGAAATCATTTGCTTAAGCTGGACATTCGTATTTATAGTTGCTTAGTAAATATATGTAGCTATGGAACGATAGAAAAGATTGAATCATGATCTGGTTCAGTGAACAGTTATCTATCATAATTCTGACCCGTAAATTTTTTTCATCCTCCCATTCTTCTCTAATCAACTGATTATTACGCATCCTCATTTGGTATCCGAAATCTCGAATCACTTTATGTTGCAATCTTTTTTATCTAGGATTGATAATTATAAGCAAAGATAGATTGTGCACAGTAGTAGGGTGGAGGATGAGAGTTTCGTCTTATTTGGGGCTCATTCAGGAGTGAACATCAACTCCAGGATGCATCCATCTAAAGATGAGTCTCAAATAGAATGAAACGTGTCACGATTTCATCGGTACACAATCTATCTTTACGGAATAAAATTACATACCAAACATTAAAATGGGGAGTGCAAATAAATGAATCATTACAAGAATCAATTATACTTTTAATAAAGATAGACTTTTCAGTGATTGGCAATTTGATCAAGATAGACCACACCAAGTTCTGACCAAGTCAAAGTGGCGAGTGTTTAAGCGTGCAAGATAGTGGATGCGCACTGCTGAAATGTCCCATACTAGGACGAAATGGCCGTCCAGTGTACTTTCAAATTTACAATAGTAATCTAACTTAGATCGACTCATGAACCCATCTATTAAAATATTATTGATCAATCCATTTATGGACTATAAAAAACATAGAATATCATCAATACTGACATAAGCAATTATCTGAATTGTGAAAATACATTTTCATCGTTACATATTAACTATTTACTTGTATTCTCTAATTCACCTCACTACATATTTGTACATATATATATCAACTATTTTCTTTAGCTAAATTAATATTTGCTCTTGTGGGATCTTCACCTAATGAAGATAATTCATACGTGGAAATTATTGATTTTAATTCACAAGAGTTAATTGGGGAAATCAGAAATCAATGGAAAACAGTAAGTTATTATTTTAAAAAAGAAAAAAAAGTCCAGATTATTAGTTTCCTATCGGTGGTTTTGTTGAAATATACATTGTCCAAGAGTTGATACTGATATACATTCAACCTATATATTTATCTATTTGGACACATAGATATTGGTACAAGGGGGAGGGGCTGTGATAATGCCCGGGTGCCCGAACCAAACCAGGTGGTTTCCGTAGGAGGCCACACCCAGAGTCATCGACCTAAAGATCTGATCGATAAGGCAGTCTCATGGTAGCCGGTGACCAACGACTGGTTAATACGCCATTTGTTCCCTCAGGATACTGGAGCCCATGTGCACCGTTGGTTTGGAATCTGGGTTTTCCAACTCCCCTAGGTAAACTCTGCGTGTCCACCAACCCGGTTAAAGTGCCGGACATTCGCTTTTCGTCCTCTCAATTTCGTAAAGAGCACCCCTGCCACAAGAAGTCAGTGAGTAGGAGTTCCCTGGCAGAGGCTATATGCACATGGTCATTTGAGAGAATTTCGAGAGGGAGAGCGGACTCTCCCCGCTCTCGGTCGTATTAGGACATTTGGGAACCTACCTATATATGAGCCTACCTGGCTACTACAATGAAAAGACAGATTGAGAAAGGAAATTCATGGACCATACCAAATCTACCATATATGTGGTCATTCACCAATACCAAACGCCTCATTCTTTAGAAATACACGTCATTTTGCTCAATACTCGAAAGTACTTGATAAGAATGATTTGTTACCAGTTTCTACAATTATCAGATCATTGAAAGTAATCAGGATGAAACCCTAAATCTAAATCTTATTTTAATCTACACTTGTCATCAAGAAATGCCTTTAATCCTGACTATATGGATCATATGTATCAATTCTAGTGAACTAAAGACTATGCAATATTGAAAAAATGATCAAGTCATACAGAACACAATGATTTCTGACGATTCGTAGGAAAAAGTTTGTGAAAGTTATTTCTCAATTAGTCAATTATTGAAGGTTAATCTTGTTAAATCGAGTTTTTTTCCCCCATCATATATTGATACTTTTACTGATATCGATCGATAAGTGAGTATTTCATTTATTTACGGGTCCAACTTTCATCATTAAACATAATACTGATAGGTCCTGAGTTCGAATCTCGCGGGGCGGGATCGTGAATGTACACTGCCACTGAGGAGTCCCACAATAGGACGAAACGGTCGTCCAGTGCTTCCAGGTTTTCCATGATGGTCTAGCTTCAATTGACTCATGATCTCAACAATTAAATTACTATAATATCCACAAAATCCCTCTTTGATTAACCTATAATACTATTGAAATATTCCATTATTCTCTTTTCAAGGGATTCGGTAATGTGCATTCTATAACAACATGTCCATACAACAACGGAATAAGTTGTATACTATTCTGTAATACAAATTTACCATCACAACTAAATCAACCGGTATTATCAAATCAAACTCAAAGAATTAAAAGTATTTCTAAATATCAAGAAGATTTCAATCATGAACAACTTGAACGACGTTTATGGCTTTATCATTTACGATTTAACTCTGAATACAATTAATAAATGAATGGAAAAAAAAATTATGAATGAAATCATGTTATCAATGTTATAATGAAATATTGATGATAGTCAACACAAATATATGGTTTAAACAAATCACTATTTTATGATCTTCTTTATTGAAAATGTTTTGATTGGTCCATACTAATCAATCAGAACTCCGAAATTGCTCCTTTCGTATGGTACTGATAAATCTTACAAGGGAACGCTTAAATCAGTTTCTTAAGCTCTTCCAATAACATCAGGCTAAATCTGCACGACATATTGAACGCGAAAGAAAAGGCGTGAAATGTATAGAGAACGCTTTACTCCAAGCTTAGTTTACGTACATAAAATCGAGGGTATTTATAGCATTTCAGATAGCCTTGGTCTTCTGGAATTCCACTAAACAAAGTAACAAGATAAATGACCATCCAGTCAGAAATGTGACACGTGACTCTTCATTTTCTAGACGTTTCTGAAGAACTATTGAGTGCTGGTTAGATAAAATGTTTCCCAGCGATATTAATATCTCATAGTAACACACTTAGGGGTGTTATGATTGTGGATCGTGGGACGATATCGATCTCTAGTAAGATTGAGTTCGGCTAACATTGTCCAGCTTCTTAATAGTAAACTATATAGTGATGCCTTTTAATGAGAGGTCACTTACTATTTTAAAGAGGGAAAAAATAGGTAAGATCCTCATGTATTTCTAGGTTTACTGCTTTTGGTATGTTTCAGATTATACCAAACGCTTATTTGCAAAATGTAAATATAAACTGTATCCTACTTAACTAGAAAAAATCATACTCAACTCTATCCCAGTCAACGAACTTCATCAATTTAGAATTACTTGATAGATTGTGTGATTAGATCTTCTGAAGCCTTGCATAACTCTTAAATAAACAGCCTAAAAAGACCTAGAGAGATAATGAATTTATGAATAACTGAAAGATTATTATCAATCTACAAATTTAATCGTAGTTAAACTAGCATAATGTAACTACATGGCAAAAATAGTTATTAGAGAAACTTTCTTACAACATGAAAATAGTTTTCTTATCATAACAATTAGTTAAAATACTTGTAACTTAATGGCAATTATCAAAACAATTCGCATAGAACACACATATATCAATAAGAGACTAATTAATTGTAGTAATGAGATGGTGGAGAAGATTTATAGATCAGGTCGATGATTTTGATAGTTTTATTCTCTAAGTTGGATAGTTTGATCATGAAGCTTTCATTGTTATCCACGATTAAATCATACAGTTCAAAGAATAAAACTTTATCAAAATTGTAATAGTCCTGAACATCAATGAGAAGATTCAAACAACTAAATATAATCCCAATGGTTAAGATCATGAGTCAGTTGAAGCTGGACCACCATGGAAAACCTGGAAGCACTGGAAAGCCGTTTCGTCCTATTGTAGGACTCCTCAGCAGTGCGCATCCACGACCTCGCCCCCTGCGAGATTCGAACACAGGACCTACTGGTTCCACAAAACCCATCTGATATTAATCAACATATGCTCACTAGTGACGGTCTCCAAGAGGTATTTCCTGGAGTTCTAGTGAGAAGCAGTGGTCAGTGGAATTCAACTAGGTCTGTTGTGAGATATCAACTCACTGAGGACAATGGTGGATGTGTCGATCAATTTCATGGATTGGTTGAAGTTAGACATTTACACCGTTGGATGCCGGCACAGTGGTCTAGTGGTTAAGTGCTCACGCGCGGAACTAGTAGGTCCTGGGTTCAAATCTCGCAGGGAGCGAGGTCGTGGATGCACACTGCTGAGGAGTCCCACAATAGGACGAAACGGCTTTCCAGTGCTTCCAGGTTTTCCATGGTGGTCCAGCTTCAACTGACTCATGATCTTAACCATTGAAATTACTATAATATCCACAAAACCCATCTGATACTAAATATAAATTGAATAAGAGTGTAAATGTTTACAAGAATATATATTTCATTAGTTGAAATCATGAGCCAACTGAAGCTAGACCACCATGAAAAACCTAGAAACAATGGACGACCATTACGTCCCAGTACGGCCGTCCAGTGCTTCCAGGTTTTCCATGATAGTTCAGCTTCAATTGACTCATGATTTCAACCAGTGAAATTCTTTAAAATCTCCACAAAACCCCTTCTGATTGTAGCGTGACGTCGAGTCGCGGTTGACTATGATCACCACTACAAGAAGGTTGCGTACCAGATATCAGAAGGCGATTGGAAGTTGTAGGGAGATATATTTGTGGGCGATCTCATGGTATCGAAAGAATACCGAGGCCGTACCAAAGGAGTACAAGAGGAATCATTGGGGGAACGTGTGTGTGCAAGGTCACAATCAACGGAAGGAAGAATGTCTTTAGTACAGTTTAACAAACAAGTACGGTAAAACAATCACTGGTACAATCGGTTATAATAATAATTGTTTCCATTAAACCAATTGCGTTCTCTTGATAAAAGTAGGTCACTATATGATATATATATATATATTTCTTTTTTACACATATGTACATGTAATTATTAAAACAAAATAAATTAATAATTCATAATTCATCATTAGAATAGTTTCCTTTTATCAGGTGACAAGATATCATTTGTATATGATTCCTGTTTAAGTAATATATCAGTTACATTATTTAAACAAGTTTGTAATGATTTAGTTTGTTCATTGGATCCAGTAACAACAGTATTATTATCACTATTATTATTATTATTATTGTTTGACTGATGATGAATAGACATAATCATTGAATGAATTTGTAACAACAATTCTGGACATCCATAAACAGTCGCTGCAAAACGAAGTCGATTTAATTCCTGTAAAGAAAAAGAACAACAACATCAGATTGAACAGTGAGAATTTGTTTTTCATGTAGATGTTGGCATACAAAGTCAATAGTTTCCATTAAAGGTACATTGGTGAACAGGGAAGCAATATTTAGAGATATCATCTGTTTTCTATTTAAGTTCATATGTTCCACTTTAGAAATGAAATCGAAGACGTCTTCCATGTTGACGACTAGTTTGTGTAAGGGGTCTAGGATTCGCGATTTAAACACTTTGCAGTTTAATGATAAGGCGAATTATACATATCTAAAACTGGGCTAAGAGGAAGACAGCCATTCTGCTCACCGCTTTCCTCTTTGTTGCAGTATGTGCCCCGCTCCTCGTCGAAATGTTGAGTACACCGGAGCGCTGACCTGAATGGCTATACAAAACTCAATTAACCCTAATCAAATTCAAAATTATGTGCTTAATTCACAATAATTGCACCTAATTAATCATTAGCAGCAGGCAGGTTGATCGATTTCACTTAATTATTCTTCAAAAAATTAAACAATTAATTAAAACAACGAATTTACTTACTTTATAAAGTAATGCAGATTTATCCGGTAGGCGCCGACTTAGTCGAAGCACTTTATTAATATCCATAAGCATTGCTGACTGTGATGCCCAAGAAACATAACGTGAACCATCTTTATTAAAACATTTTTTGAAAAGAAAAAAGAGTTAAAAACGAACCCCCTAATCATTATTATCACTATAAATCAGATAAACTGTTGAATGAGAAATGAGTGATAGAAATGAAAGTTAGATAAGGAGTGTTGAGGAGATCCTCGAATAAAGCCCAGAGGGATCCTGTAAAACGCTAGGAAACATTTTATTCAGTCAGCATCCAATAGAAGTTTCTCAGAAACATCTAGAAAGTGAAGAGACACGTGTCACACTTCTGATAGGATGATTCTCCATCCTGCTATTATGTTCAGTAGGGTTCCAGAGCCTTCCAGAAGCCCAAGGCCATCTGGAATGCCATAAATACCCTCGATTTTTTGTACGTAAACTAAGCTTGGAGTAAAGAGTTTCTATACACTTCACGCCTTTTCTTTCGTGTTCGATTTGTCGTGTAGATTTAGCTTGGTGTTACTGGAAGAACTTAAGAAATACATTCAAGAGTTCAGTCATAAGATTTATGAAGGAGCTAAAATGAATTCAAGTTATTCAATATTTTGTTGGTTAATATCAATTTCTTTCCTGTGACGACAACTGAAATAACATGTCTTTTTAAACCATATTTGTATAAGGAGGGTTGTTTGTGAAGATTATATATTTTAGCTAGACATCACCATTAAAAAACTGGGAAGCACTGGACGGCTGTTTCATACTAGTATAAGACTACTCAACAGTCCTCACCCACGACTTCGCATCCGAGAATTTCGGACACGCTCTGCTGAGAATTTCGATACTAAGATGGAACGCCCGTCCAAGGCTATCAGGTTTCCGGTGGTTGTTTAACGTAGATTGGTTTATGATAATCCGTATTTCCCTATGATCTTTATTTCTTTCGTACTGTTTGTTGACACCGTTAGTTTGCATATATATATATATATATATATATATATATATATATATATATATAGAGAGAGAGAGAGAGAGAGAGATGCTCTAATTCAATTTCTTTGTTGAATTTTAGATATTTTACTCACTGTCGACTTTTTTTTGAGTCTTCGCTTTTAGAGATCATTGTTAAAATGTTACCTATGTCAGTTGCTGTATTGTCAAGAGCGCAATAAATTTCATTGTAATAAAACAATCTTAATTATTCGTAATCGGAAATTATCGTAGGTCAAACTGAACATAATTTCGAAGTAGTTTCCAGAAGTTTAACATCAGGCAAATCATAAAAATCACTATTTTAAACCGAGTTATGCAGACTAGTTTTCAGGATGTCACAGAAGCAAATTGTGTACAGATCGAATATGGACACTAGTTATAAGTTAGATGTACTGAAGGGGCTGATACTGTCATGCCCATATAAGTTATTACTAGCCTTTGGACAGATCAATCTATTCATTCTTCTCAAGCCCCATTTTTACTGTCAATTATTCGCTTATCAACCTTGACTGTTTTTATGTAGGCGTATGTGTGTACTTTTCTTATCTTACTCATCATATATGGCTGTAACTTATTTTTGTCTGACTAAATACCGATTCAAACTTGGTTACATTGAGTTGGCTCACTCGCCCTCTCCACTATGCATCCTTTCGTTTCGCTCTGCCATCTCCTCTTCGCTACGATTTTCTGATTGCCTGTTCGGATCAACGGTTGTATAAAATATACGTATTCAAAACTTCATTCTCGTATTTGACTTATCTCGATTCCGTTATTCACTAAGTCGATAATTATATACAAGGATTGGCGGAATATGTACTTCGATAACAAGTAGCAATCTACCTGGAGTCAGATCTTGGGCCAATAAAGATAGTATATGTAAATGTTATAGTAACCCAGTTCAATGAGTTTTGCGAGTGTTTAAACACTTGATCTGTCGATAGACGTATGATTGTTAGTCAACTCCTAGCCTATCTAATGTATAATTGTCCACATTCATATCACACAAATCTGATTAGCCATTGCACAATACAGATTGAGAGAAAAATAAGTCAGAGGAATGATAAAAAAACAGTGTAAACACACCAATTTTATAACTCAAATGATCCGGTGTTCGAACAGGGAATGGTGAAGTTTCATTTTTATCATCGTATAATTGAGAACCGGCAAAATCTGTTACAGGTGCTAAATGACTAAAATTACCAAGCCAAGGTAAACCAGTACATTCTGAAATAAAAACAAAATGCCATTGGAAAATGAAACAGTTCAAAAACAAAAAAAGATCAATTAATTGCTGGGGGATAACACATTCGTTATTTCATATATTGATTTAAGTTGATTTTTGTCTAGTCAACTTTCAAAGCATTTTCATGATTTATATGCATTAACTCTAAGTGTATATCGATTGTATCTAGTTGTTTGATTCATGTTGGGTTTTCCTTATAATGATTATTTCACTACGATTCCCCATTCACAGCAACAATCGTTTAGTTTGATAACATTCTGCAATATATATGACTGAATTAAAGTGGAGATTGGAGGTAGTCGACAAAATACCCTACTTGACCTAGGTTTTGTACTATCTGAGACGTGATGCCAAGGTGTGCTTGTAATCCTGAGAGAACTAGTGTTTCCTGATGGATTCGATCCCGTATCACTCAGCTTTACGGTCACATACGTTACTACTCAGCTCTTTGGGCCACGACTGATCTATGATGTATTTAAAATGATTGAACACTGAGAAGTGACTAATTCATTCATTCATTCATTCATAAGGTTAAATAGTATTTTAGCTGATCTCAGTTCGTGATGAAGACCGTAACTCCAATTCTTAACACTAACTTCGAACTATAAACGCCGATTCTGATTTCTCACGCTATTTTATAACCCACTTTAGACCGTAATGGGTTAGTGAATTTTACCAAGGTCACTTCGGTCGTTCGTAAATTATGGTCTCAACCTTTATGTATTCAGATTTCTGCTTGAAATCTATATGTAGAAACCTTTTGAGGACTGTGAAGAGGTTAAAAAGTCGATCAATGTCGAGGAGTTTAAATATTAGATTTATCAAAATATTATCAAATTATTTGGATTAATAACAACAACAAACCTCGTTCAAATACTGACAACATTAAAATTGATTGCTTCATATCAATATGATGCAAATAACCATGACTCCAAAGAGTATGGTTCGGTGAATTTTTACCAGACTGTTGTTGTTGAAGATTACGTTTAGATGAATTGTGTGAATCCAACGCTGAAACTGTACTTGAATTGATTGACTGAGCTAATTGATTATTCATTACAATATAAATATTACACATGGCAACAGTTTTTGTATTTTGTAATGATCGCAAAAGTAGGTAGAGAAGATCAGGATCAGATGGATCTAGTAAAATCAATATTGTGTAAGTGATAAGAGACAACAGTAATAATAATAATAACAGCAATGGTAAGAGTGATGATAATAATAATAATGAAACAATTATGTATTTTTGATACAATGGCAAAGCTATGCAATACCGACGACCTTTAGCGACTTTGGGGATGGTCTTGAAAAACAACCAGTCCGAATCCAGCTAAATGCAAAGGAATGTCAAAATCACCGAGATTTAGGAGCATTGATACGATTAATGAATCTGAAAACTTCCAAGCTCTAGAACTCCTAGACCTTAAATCTATACAGTACTGTTACCACTACACTGCAAAAACACGAGCTATATCTGCTAGAGCTGAAGCAGTCGTGACTTGGGTTCCGATAATCCATTTAAACATTAAAACCACTATTTTCTAGTGACAGATTTGACTCACCAAAGAATGTACCATGGTCTATAGATTTCTTCGACCAGCATCCTCTGCAGCGTAAAATAATCTCGTCCCTTGAGTCTTCAATCTCCAGACATCTCATTTCCTGACCACAATCAAATAAAACAGTTTCTCAGAAGATAGATCACCTGCAAGTGCTGTAATATTGAATCGCCTTCTAAACCGGCCTTAATGTGTAGTCTTAACAACATTATCTGTACAAGTAACAGGTTATCTGCGACTGCGTTTGAAAAATTATATATAAACCTAGAAACGCTGGCTTTAATTCTGATTTGGTTCACTGAAAGTCGTTGGTATAATATAGTCTTATCGATACTATCCCAATGAACAGATATTCGAGCTTATAGCGTAGTGTAATCCACTTCTTTAGAGTGAAAATAAATAAGTGAATTAAATTAATACAAGTAGTCAACATTCTACAATTATTCAACTTTCCCCTGTGAATATTCTTATACATATATACGTAAACGAAATGTTCTTTTATTAATAAACTGGATGAATTATCAAGAATTGTAATAGAAGACAATAGACAGGAGGAATCTATATTTATGATGAGAAGTTACAAAGAGTAAAACATATACATGACCTTCAAAAATCCATTTGCATCTTCCGGTGTGTTTTGCAATCTGAACTATCTTCTCGTTTAGTCTCCAAGTGTTCTGCCAACGCCATGTTTACGCTGTATTGAAACTCATCACTCTGTCCTAAAACTTCAAGGCCACGTTCCGCAACATACTATTTACAAGCAATCTTTTAAGTAGCGTCCACTACAGCATTAGTAATGTAGTCCTAATATACTGTCATAGAACAAGTATGACATCCTTAAATCCATACATAATTAAAGCTTTCTATAAAAATGCTTTACTTCAAATAAGAAAGATAAAATCCTTCATCATTTCGACACAGAATTATGTCAACAAACTAGGATATATATGTAGCGAGGAATTCTGGATTGAACAGTTTTCCCAAGAAATCATGACTCGTACCAAAGAACATCTAAGCTACACTAAAAAACCTCCACATATTCATGTAGACCTAGAAAAGCTACAAATCAATATTAACAATATCGAAATAACCCAAAATGGATTCTTTTTAATTATAAAGAAAAACAACTGGCTGAAGAAGCTTTCCGTATATTGCTAGATACTAGTCGCACCTGATAAGAAGGGAGGTCTAACGATCTAACATAGACGATTGATCTAAATATTCACACATTTAATCCTGTTCACATCACTAAAAAACATTTAAATATATGGCTAACTTCACTCTTCCACAATACAAACATGACATTTTTCAAACGCACTAACACATACATATACACAGCATCACCACCTTATCCGGAATGACATGTCATTGACATGATCAAACCGATTTTGATTGTACTAAAAAATTTTTTTCTCTGTATTTTTGTACGATCTAAACTTATGTTAGTGTAATTCATTTATTTATTTTCATTTTTTGAAGAAGTTGATTATACCAAGTCATGAAGTGTCAGAAGCTCAAATTTCTACTCATTTCATTTGGATAGCATAGGAAATATATCATTATTTCATGATAAACATTCTACTCAATACCTGCTTCGACGGGCGATGTTGTCTGGTATAGTAGCGGGCAAAGCAAAACATGGCACTAGTCCATGAAGTTATTGACAATTGAAATGACCTATGTTGATGAGTGTAAACTGCCTGGTTGGGTTTCGCATGATCACAGGAACCAGTAATTAGAAATTTTGAATGATATGGCTTATAATCATTTTGAACAGTACAGGTGCATTCATTTTTTTGTCTTCTCTCAGATTCTAAATTTGTGTCATATCTTCGATGCCTAATACTTCTTATTACTATTAATACTGTTACTAACTCTACTATTATGAGATTTGGCCTGACAATGTCATCTCTGCGTTAGCAGGGTATGACAACTTGAACCACTGTACATACGTACCATATCCTACATTGCGACTAACTGATTGACAATGCCCAGTTTATTGGAAATTATCAAGTCTAACACCAGTATTGATACGAATAATAATAATAATAATAATAATAATAATAATAATAATAATAATAATAATAATAATGGCTAATCACAATAAAGTTTAAACGACTGTTTAACAACAGCTTTTGCCTCAGTAGATCTACAGTTATTATACACTTAGTATCTTAAATGAGATAGAATCCACTACCAACAAACACCACCACTGAATATCACTTAAAAATACTTAGAAAATTCCCACTGCGTAAAAACTAAGGCAGAATTTTACAAATGACTGAAATCAGAACTACTGTTGTAATTTTATCCACCGATTATTATTATTATTATTATTATTATTATTATTATTATTATTATTATTATTATTAGTAGTAGTAGTAGTAGTAGTAGTAGTAGTAGTAGTAGTAGTAGTAGTAGTAGTAGTAGTAGTAGTAGTATTGGTATTAGTATTACTGATTTCTATACCCCTTACTTAAAACGGGTAATACGCTGAAATTGTACTTGTATTCACTAGGAACGTTACCTCTAAACAGTTGGATTTGGAATCCAGAAACTGTTTAATCGCGATCTATGAGATGATATTTGAGTTTAACGCCAACCACTCACTTAGTCCCAGACTGGTTATTAATTTAAACCTACCTACCTTGGAAACTACCAATTATGACATTGTACAAATTACACAAACATAACTAACCCTTGTTATAGGATTGATTTTGTTTTCCCTGCCATTGTTCAGAATGGAAATATCAATAAACGACCGGCCATTTTTGTATTTTTTTTAATGAATTTTTTTCACCCTTTTAAAAAAGTTTTTTCATCCCGTTTCGTCCAATTAAATGGCTGGTTTTAAATTCGTTATAATTGGTTAGTTCTGTCTTAAAATTGTTATAAAATGTTAGTACTTGTCAAGAGAGTACATTTTAATCACAATTATGGAGGAGAGTAACGTGCCATGTACAAGCGCTGTTGTTTCTCATGTTGTCACAGAAACGGAGAACGTATTTTTGACTACATTGTTTCTCGTTGCGTTCCAATTAGTTGAAGCGTTAAAGTGCGCTATCAGAACTTGTAAAAGATCTACGTACTGCCATTATGTGGTGAAAGATTCTCATTTCCACAAAGATCAGAACTCTTATATAAAATTTGTATGTTGGAGAAATGGCCGTAGAACACCTAGCAGTTCGTCACAGCGGATTAGACGGAGGAGGTAATTTGATTAGTGTTATTACAATTTTTTTCACGAAGGACTTCCATGAACACTCAATGTCCGGCCTTCATCTTTTGTAAGTTGATAGAAGGTTACTGGACTGTTGTACGTGGGAATGTGCATCACAATCACGAGTGCAATTCCCTGAGGTACGACAGTAATTCTTGGGTGAGCAGGTTAACGGAGGCAGAGTTTGAAACTGTGCGACCGCTCCTGATATCTAGGACCGCAGCATTCGACATTAAGCACTTTGCTTACCATTCTTATGGAAAGCATTTGAATGATCAAGATATATTTAATATGCGGTACAAAGTGTTCTCACACGCCAACCTTCCTGGTAATCAATCTGCCTATTTATAATGTAAACGATAGGTAATTACGCCAAATTAAAAGCTCATATAACGTCTTTAGGTGGGCTTTGCGAATACGAATTAGATGAAGAAAATTGTCTATCGTATTTCTTCTTCACGACTGCTGATCAAATTAATTTGGCAGCTCCTTTTTGTGATGTCATCGGTTTTGACGGGACGTACAAGACAAATAACGAGAACGTATATTTATATCAGGTAGTAGCCCTTGATATGAATTTTATGGCAATACCCGTTTGTATTGCACTTATAAGTCGCGAAATATCGACTTTAATTTTTCGATTCCTATCGTTCTTCCGACGGTCAACCAACAGTCGACAAGTGGTAGGCATTGTGACAGATGATTCACCTGCAATAGCTGCTGTCATCACGCAGGTGTATCCAAATGCCCACCACATTTTGTGTCGTGTACAGCATATTCGCAATGTCATAAAGAGGGTAAGTCTTTCGTTCCTTAACATTAATCCATTTACCGTCATTGTAGAGGGTAAGATCAGAAGTGACACAACTGTTATTTCGTCTGATGTTTACTCGAACGGTTAAAAGGTAAGTCAAAATCTACACAACATTATTTTTTAGTTTTAACAATTATTTGCAGTTAATCGAAACATCCGACGAAACGTTTTTCCGATATGTGAGAGATCACTTGCTGCTGAAAAAACAAAAGTGGTCAACTGCTTTCCGACCATCAGCGACGCTACTTCAACAAAATAATACCAACTTCGTTGAGACAACTCATCGAATTTTGAAGATGCATAAATTGAATCGAAAAACACCTGTGTTGAGATCTATATTCAGTGTGCTACTTCGCACTGGATATTGGATGGAAGCACGACTTCAAAAGTATACATCAGACTGTCTCAAAAATGCAAATATCGGTCGGGAGCCACAGGTACGTCGTCTTCAGGAACGACTGACACCAGCTGCATGTCAACTACTGAAGCGGCACTTGCGCACTCCTATAACTGAGGTTGTAATGTCCGTTGATTTGTTTACGGCTGTTGACGCAACAGGCATTTACACGGTCAACCGTAATACCATCCAGTGTTCTTGTAGTTTTCATATTGAAAACGGAATCCCATGTCGTCACATATTGGCCTACTGCACACACAGTAATACTTATGTGAACATACAGTCAATTTGTGACGGGTGGTTGCAGTCGGATAGTTACCTAACCAACATTGCGATTGAGAATTGTTTCCCAGTGCAATTACGAAAGTCAAGCGTCAAGAAATTGGTGTATGCCTTAGTCAGGCAAATGTCGGAAGAACAATGCAGTTTGGTCTATAAGCCTTTGTCTCGTTCTCTATCATTTATGGCTTGATTATGTATAGAATAGAAGTTCCTATTTGGGGTGTGTCGTGGCCTAATAATTCATGTATATAAAGTCATGAGTGAGTCTGAGTTATGATAACTACTTCCCAACCTCATCTTTTGATTGGTCACTTACATATTAGAGCTGAATGGGCCAACAGGAGTTAAGATGTCCAGTTACTGCATTTTATTGGCAAAATGGAAAACCACTTGACCGATTTACATAAGCGAATCCGTAATTAGTGGACACTATAATCAAGTGACCCGATTAAACGGACGAATAAGACTGTGCTAAAAAATGGATCAAACTGTAACACAACCCAATGATGTGAAACATACATGCTAAAATGATAAATTACCTGTTCGACTAACCACTGTGAAACGTCCATTTACTGGTGGATTATTTAAATCGCTGAGATTAAGGAAACCGAAGATCTCCACACAAAGTGAATTTTTTGCCAAATCATTCAATCTATCAATAATAACAATATTTAAACATAGTAATATATTAAGTTATAATATCAATCTTTGGAATAAACGCAACTTATCAGTCTAGGTGAGTGAGTGTCGTAGGAACACTTCAACACGGACACATAATACCTGTTGAACTTTTTAAAAATAACATTTTGTGGCCTAAGGTAAAACATTTGACTCAACGTTGAGCCACACTGTTTATGCAACGACAAGCGATGGATACCTTACTTAAATCCGACACGGTAGTGAATGTGCACTGCCGAAGAATCTCAGTTATTCAGTCCTTTGAGGTTCTCAACAATTGTCTGAGATTAGTTTGTGATTTTAATAAAACTCAACAATCTCCACAACTTTCGTAAATGATAATCATTTGAATTATATATGACATGAGAAAGATAAAATAAAAAGTTACCTACCCAGTGAATGAATGAACACCTGGAGACGGTAATAAAACTGCCATACTTTGAAGACGTCCACAATTGATAATTACACTTGGAATTACTTGATTCGGTTGACAATGTTCAATAATATGTTTAGCTAAGTTATCTATATATAATTCGACAGTATAAGCTATTTATAGGAAATAAAAGTGAATAATGCTGAACAATTGAATAAAGAACCAACTTTCAAGATTTGAAACGTATTTGTTAGCTTCGAAAATTATTGATTTCAAGTGAAATTGATTATATAACTCCATTAGATCGTTAGATAACTAAAACAAACAAAAATACCCAAAGAATCTTGATAATATCAGTAACTATAAATGAATTGAAAAGATAAGTTTTATACATACAAATACTGAAAGGCTAATTCAATTCAGTGGTGTATGAAAAATATTATAAACAAAACAGAGGCAAAATTATCACAGAAATTATGTTTATTGATTAGATTGGACCGTGTGTATAAGATTACATTTTATTATGTGTACGCTTAGACACTCCGAACTTCTTAGTAGGTCTTCGGTAATTTTTTATGGTTGAATCCCAGGGGAAAACAAAATCCGAAAGGGAGAGAAGCTTTATTTTTAGGGTTAGTTCATTTGCAAAACAACAAGCTTATTTATAGGATTAAATATGATCTTAGAGTTTTAGAAATTTCTCTAACAAAAACCAATAATTGTTTAATCAGCATAATGGAAAAATAATACATTATTATCTGGAATTCATTTGGGAGTTAGTCGAGATATTTTCAGTTTTCCTGGCTTTTGAAAAATTTTTGAAAGAATTATCGAAGGGTTACAACAATATATACATAAATCCATAAGAAAAGTGATTTATCAGTTCATAACAATTTTTCATGTACTTGTTGAATACCGACGAAGATAGTTGTGGAAGATTTGTTAATTTAGTTACACTGAGCTTATGCTTGGATAGTCGAAATTGATTGATACTAAGTTTCAAATGCCCTGGTACGGTCGAGGGTGGAGAGAGTCAGCTCTCCTTCTCCAAATGCTCTCACATGGCTACATGTATACAGCCACTACCAAGGAAGTCCTACTCACTGTCTTTACGACACGGCTGTGTTTACGAAATCGAGAGGATGAAAGGCGAATGTCTGGTGCTTTAACCGGGTTGGTGGACACGACGAATCTACTTAGAGGAGTTGGAAAACCCTGATTCCAAACCAATGGTGCACAAGGGCTCCAGGATCCTGAAGGAACAAATGACATATGAACCTATTATTGATTACTGTTTACCATGGGATCGCACCTCCTAATATCGTCCCAATGCTTTGTGGATTAGACTTCTAGGTCAAAAGCTCCGGGTGTGGTCCTCTAAGAAAACAATCTGCTTCGGTTTGGGTATAACTGCACAGTATCCTTGCTCTCGAACCAAATAATAACTACTCTGTGTAGTGCATATTTATTTATTTATTTATTTATTTATTTATTTATTTGAACACATGAATATTGGTACAAGAGAGCGCCAATATATATGCGCCACACAAAACAATGAGAATTCGAAGAGAAGTAGAAAAAAAAACTAAGGAGCGCAAAAGAAAAAGAGAACAATAACGAAGAGATTGGTGTAAAGGTAGTGTGGTAGTAACGAGGGAACGAAAAGGTACAATCAGAAGAAATCTTTCAGGTAAGGGAGACATTACCACTTTTTATGAAGAAAGTAAAAGGTTACAGCAGGATCGCCACTGGCTTCTATTCTGAGCCATATCTGATAACGTCTCTAGCCGCTGTGTAGCACCATCTCTCAGACCCCAACCAGGGAGTCGTGAAGGTCCAACAGAAGCCAGTCCTTTGCAGCTTTCTTTCATACCACGACACCATGTCATGCACTGACCACCTCTCTGCTCCTTCCAACCAGTCCCAGAGTCGGCAAATAATGCACGACGTGGAATTCTCTGGGATACATTTTGGTGCACCTTTGTACCAATATATATATATATATATATATATATATATATATATATATATATATATATGTTCAAACAAATTAATTAGTTCGATGCCAAACTCATTTAATGGTGCACCTTTATCATTAAGCGTAATTGAGACAGATGGACGTTAAAGTTGAACTTCTCCTTCAGGATAAAATTAAAATAAACATCAATATTCAACAAGAAGGTAGGAATAAGGCGTTCAATGTTGGGAATTTAAAAAATCATCTAAATAATCTTTTAGCACAATATTTATGTGAATCTCGAACCAGAATAACTTAAGTGTCAAAATTATTTTAACGAACTTCATTGTTTAGCAAAATATTAACAAGTAGATTAATGTCAATGTCTCAGAATATGAGACTACGAAGCCTGGGCTCTAATCTTACAGGAAGAATCAGTAGGCTCAGGAATCCAGGCGTACGTTTGCTGACGGACGTCAAATACGACAAAACTTGGGTCTAGGGTTTCCTGTTGACTACCTCCAACTACCATCTAACATTTCAACATCGTACACAAGATATTGAGTCACTTAGACTAGTTTCCACATAATAACTTGATCGATAGAATTCAATTTGCACTAAGAACTGGACAAATATGATATTGGCCAGTACTCAGTGAATACTGTACGTAAGGAAATAATTTGTAAAGCTTAATAACAGGAAGAAAAATGATAGTCCCAAACCACTAAGCCGCTTGATCATAAATTTGTCAAGAATTATATACATGTATATATCAACTGGAGAAGTTCCACTCACCTGTTTATCACTCAAACTAATGAACAAAATTGACGTATCATTAAATAGACTTTTGGGAAAATCTACTGGGTAAATAAGGGAGGAATGAGTGAAGTAAGAAGATCCTCCATCTGTAAATATTAAAACCTAAAGGATACAACAAAAACAAAACAAAAATTTAACTTCATATATGAATATTCATCTAAATAATAACAAATAATCTATGTACTACTGTGGTGTGCTACTTATATTGACATGATGTTAGTCGTGAACAGAAGGTCTGGCAGCGGAGAGACAAGAGGATCGAACAGTAAAGAATGGAAACAGGATGCAATTTGTATGGAAATGCAAGAACAATGAAGTCTGAGTCATTTTGAGACAATTGATGGACATTTTGCAAATTACGTATTTACTATTTGATTGTTAGATTTTATTAACAAGTACTGTAATTTTGTGTTAAATACATTCGATTTTCCCCACTGGTGTTCTTGTTCACTACACTACTAATATTGCACAATAATCACAGTAATGATTTAGTAAAATTGAAAGTCATAATAATGATAACTATTTTTATTATTAAATAATCACACTTAACTTGAATTTAGATTAATTCAATGAATTCCAAAATGTGATCCAAACCAATCTACCAAAAATATGTTATCTGTAATTCTAAAAACAGTCGTTCAACCATTAGCAACGTCGAGCTTGGAATGTATATGCATCAACCGAAGATATCATACCACATTAGCACAATGAGTTGGAATTGCTAAGGCAAGTACCACTGACGTCGACAGATATAAGTAGTACGTAGCACCAATAGGAAGTGGAATGTCTGGCGGCGGAAGTTTAAGAAGATGGAGGAGAAGAGAACGAGAACAGAGAGTGATTGGTATGGAAATGAAGGAGCCATGTCTGATAACGTCTTTAGTCACTGTACTGCACCATCTCTAGGACCCCAATCAAGAAATCGTGTAGGTCCAACAGAAGCCAGTCCTGTACAGCTTTCTTTCATAACACGACACCATGTCATACACTGACTACCTCTCCGCTTCTTCCAACTGGTCCCAGTGTCGCAAATAATGCACGACGTGGAATTCTCTAAGACATTCGTAGAACATGTCCAAGCCACCAAAGCCGATGTTTCAAGATAGTGACACAAAGTGAATTATCGTCGCTGTACCCAAACACACGATGCCGAATCTCCACATTATTAACATGGTGTTGCCACACGATGTCAACAATCCTTCGGAAACAACGATGATCAAATACAGAGTCGTCTGAAATCCGCAACACGAAGAGGCCAGGTCTCACAAGCATTGAGTAAAACTGCTCTCACCGACGCGTTGTGGATCCGACCTTTTACAGACAGACTGACATCACGAATGCGCCCAACATGGTCCAGTTTGACATAAGTAGTTCTGGCTTTCGCTATACGTGAATTGATCGCATCACTCACGCCACCACCAGCACTTATGCAGCTAACCAGATACACATACTTCTCGACTACTTCTATTTGCTCACTACCCAAAGTGAGTGCAAGATCAGGGTCCTGTCAGTCTTGTAAGAGTACTTCGCACTTCGAAAGTGCAAAGCACACTCCATACTTACGGACACCTATTGCCAACTGATTAGGTGCGGATTGAATGGCTTGAGTATAGTCGCACAGTAAGACAATATCATCCACATACTCAAAGTCTATAAATCTTTCTCCAGGCAACAGATCCACACCACTATTACCTACACCCATCAGAGCCGTTTCCAGAACGTCGTCGAGAGCAAAGTTGAGGGAGAATGGTGAGATTGGGCAACCCTGTCTAACCCCACTACTTGAATGGAATAATGGAGAGATGGTTTTATGTCCTCACTCTGCCTAAGATGTTAACATATAGGGCTTTCAAGATGTTAATAAACTTCTCAGGCACACCCTTCCTTAATAAACAATCCAAGACAACAGTCCTGTCCAACGAATCCACGGCGACCTTAATGTCAATAAATACTACAATTGTTGGTCTGTAATATGTATGATGGTGTTCCAAAATATGTTGGAGGGTGAAGGTATGATCAATACATCCTCCACCAGAACGAATACAAGTCTGCTCCTCGCGAGTCAATCTCTCCCGGGTTTTGAACAACCTAAGAAGTGTGGCGAAAGCCAATAATTTGGACGCGATCGGAATTAGACTTACTCCCCAATGGTTTTTGCAGAAACGACGTGAACCCCTTTTTAAAGATAGGGACAACTATCGACTCATTCCATGATGGTGGAACACTAATTGTTAGACCTTTGTAAATAAATCAGTCAATTCCATAAGCAGAAAGTCGCCACTATCTTTAGAAAGGGCCAGAGGTACGTTATCTAGGCCTGGTGATCTGTGGTGTTTCAAGAGCTGGAGCTTCTTGCGGACTCCTACATCGTTAGGTGAATCAAATGTCATAGACCATGGAGGTCAGGACAGTCTGATCGATGTTACCGGGAAGTAGATCGGTTAAACTGTTATTCAGAAAACTCTGCCCATCGTTCAAGACGTCGTTAGATGTTAGTGATTGGCATCCCGTCATTTCCACAGATTGTTTCACTCACACCAGACTTCCTGCTGCCAGTGACTCGGATGAATTGAAAGAGCTCCCGGCAGTTACTGGATGCAACTGCTGCTTCCAACTCGTCGGCACATTCCAACCAACAGACTTCTCGGCCCTTAGGCAAGCTTTTCACAATTTCATTGCGTAACAGTCTTCATTTGTGGTCAAACTCGCGGTCACCCAGAATAGACCAACATGTCTCAACAAGTTGTAAAGAGCCTGTAGAAACCCAGTGTTTAAAAGCGGGACGTTTCACGAAGCCGCAAGCGACTTTACTAGCCATTTTCATGGTATCATGCAATTATAACCAGTGGTCATCTATATTTTTGAGACTATCCCTCAAGCCTTTTACCTAGAAGTCTAATCCACAAAGCATTGGGACGATATTAGGAGGTGCGATCCCATGGTAAACAGTAATCAATAATAGGTTCATATGTCATTTGTTCCTTCAGGATCCTGGAGCCCTTGTGCACCATTGGTTTGGAATCAGGGTTTTCCAACTCCTCTAAGTAGATTCGTCGTGTCCACCAACCCGGTTAAAGCACCAGACATTCGCCTTTCATCCTCTCGATTTCGTAAACACAGCCGTGTCGTAAAGACAGTGAGTAGGACTTCCTTGGTAGTGGCTGTATACATGTGGCCATGTGAGAGCGTTTGAAGAAGGAGAGCTGACTCTCGCCACCTTCGACCGTACCAGAGCACTTGGTACCAAAAGTTATAAACATGTTGTATAAAAACCACCTAATGTGAGCTTGCTATATAAATACCAGCATGTGAAACGAAATTGAAGCTTGTCATCTGATGACAAGTTTTTAAGTGCTTAATTGTCATCCAACTTAAATATCTGCAATACGTAATTTTAACAGTTAAATATATAAATATAAACATTGTATTCACTTGAATATTTGACCATGGTCCATAGTACAGATATGCTTCTTTCAAGATGTTAAGAATTGATGTGGCAGTCAATTCACTAGGGAACATCACCTTAGCTGTCTGTTCAATGTGATCAATTGCACTATGCAAGCTAGATATATCGGAGGAAAATGCGCCAAGTGATCCCTTAGGAGACAAGCTTGTTGTATCGCACTGTTAAAATAAGAAATTAAAACATGTTGAATTACCATCTATAGCTTATATTAAGAATCGAAAAAGTACTTATACAATGGTAGAGTGACAACCAAAAAGGGAGAATAAATCAGGATGCTGAATTTTGGTAATTCATTTCATAATTCTAAATAAGAACAGATATTTTTGCAACGAAATTTTCCCTTCAACGAACAGATCTTATAATTTTCATTCATTATACTCACGTATACAGATATACAGAACCTTTTTATTACATGGATTATCGTGCCGAAATAAGATTGTACAGCTTTTAGAAGTAAAGTCATCGAAGAGAAAATTCCGTTATTCAATTTTATCATTAAAAACACTGTATTATAACAGCTCATAACATCAATAACAAGTGTAATCCATTCGGTGCAGCAGGCTTATGCACTCCAGTTATGAGTCAGATAGTTTACGTGAAAGCTTCCTAAATTTAAGAAGGTACAAAAAGGTTAAAACATGTAAACCACTGATTAAGAGTGAAGTGAGGTGAGCACTACGTTCTACAGTTTGTAGGACCATTGAACAGTATTCTATAAAGGATCCTTATTTAAGGGCGCCATCAAGTTTATTCTGGTACTTCGCTGGTCTGATAACAACACTACTAGCACAGTGCTGCCTTTAACGTAAACATTATTGAGATTTGTGATAAAGTACAAATTAGAGTTTAAAATATTTGGTACGAGGCTAGATATATACATAATCTTTGAAAAATAAATAGGTCACGCTTGTAAACACATTCAGATCTACATCCGAAAACTTATATTTAAGACTAACACCTGATCTTTGTGGACCATTTACGCACTAATCTATTCACACCAATACTGCAGAAAGTATGCTTTGGAATAGAAAAATAATAACTTACTACAGATATAAAACCAGGATTTTCAAAGTTACAAAGTCTAACTATAACAGATTTAGCCAACATGCATAGCAATTGACTGCATGAAAATGATGGAAATTTTTCATTTGGACGCAGAATACGTAGCTGTCTATCAATGACAATTAGACGAATCATTTCTTAGGAACTGTGAAATGTGTCTAAAAAGGAAACAGAATTAATTTAAGGTTTTAAATCTGATCAATCCTTAAAGACGCGGAAAAAAAATCCAAACTGTAATCTTGTATAGGTTTGCATATTAGGTATGAAGACTACCATACTAGCCAACCGTTGGTGCTGCAGTAAGTGAGAAATAAGATACAATGATAATCCGAACAAATAAATGGACAGATCCAAATTTTTACTTAAAACAACGATAGGGATTATAAATGGTTTGACTAACAATCACCTAAAATAAGTATGGAAATCTAAACCTTTACTCTCCACAAATTAACAAAGGTATATTACGCCTTGTGACCGGCCTAAAGAAATCTAAGAGCTAAAACATTTAACAAACACTAACTGAATAGGTTTTTGTACTTTCGATTGGACAATCTATAAAGCAAGCTGTCACCCAGCAGCTGAAGTTCTAGTGGATCTAGGAAAGTGTTGTCAGTCAATCTGTTCTGTGAGAAATAAATTTTAATGTAGGACAGTGTGATGGCTATGTATCTTGGTGTTCATGTTATTAGAATGTAAGTCAGTCAGTTTATTGTAGCTGTGTCAATAAAAGTGGAAAAATGATAAATTGATCATATCTAGAGAATGGGTTCTTTTGAGAGAAGTAACGGGTATAAAAAGAACAAGAAACTGAGAAAAAACAATTGACTAAAGCAGGGCGTTCCTTTGCTTTCCATCTAGGAAAATAACAACCCAGTTTCTTGGACATTTTTGATGACGGAGCTATATCTTGACCATAAGTTAAAACGTCTAAAAGTCAGAAAAACCGAAAATGAAAAATAATAAGCACTTTATAAATAGAAACTAGATTCGGGACAAAAGACTGTGTTGTTTAGAGTTGCCAATAGGCCAGTTTCGAATAAATTTCACCGGATACGAATATGCAATAACCTAAAAATATCAAACAATATCAGTGCACTGGGTAGAAGTAATGATAGTGTCTATTATGGTAAAGAGGGCAAAACGGTTAATATAGTTCAGTAGTGAGGTCTAAGAAATAGTTACGAAACATAGAACTTGGGAGGAAATAAAAAGATGGGTGTATTTGCGTCACTAAAACCAATTCTGGGACATGATCCAACTTCTGGATATGATTGTTGCACAGATCCTAACAACAACGACTAGTCTGACCGAAAAGTTAATAACTTAGTAGCGTTGGATTCCATTTTAACCGCTTCTAGCCTTCTTTCAACCTACTTCTGTAACTAGTAACATTGTGTGACGATATCGGTGGCAATTCTGTAAGCTTGACATAAAGGGTATGGGTTGGGATGTGGATAAATGACTCAGTCTACACATGATTTACACACCGAAACATTCCCCATCCAACCTGAAATATTTAATTTAACCTAGGGTTTGTGTACGTTCCGTGATCTATAGATATTAAAAAAGTTACAAACGCTTTACAGCTAGGAGGACAAACGAGGCATATGAATAATGAGGAAATGAGTTATCCCACGCGTATCTCTCGCAAATAGTTGATCAATTTATACATAAAAACACAGCACAAAAATCTTGATTAGGAAGTTTAATTAGACTGGACTCGGCCGTATTATGGTGAGTTAGTATATACAAACTACATTTTATCAATTTAGTCCCTTAGTGCGATGGTTTATCGATACCTATGGTTTGGATCGACACCCATTGACAAATATGACATAAACCACTGATATTTTACAGTAATTACAAGCACTGGAATAAAATTTACCTTTGAGATAAGCTCTAAACATTCGACTACAATTAAAAACCAGATGGTGCCGTAAGACTTCGAACGAGTTACACATCCCGAACATTTAAACTACTTCAAGGCCACCACTCAAAATCCAGTATCCAATACATTTTATATCTATGTGACAAGCTTATGTGATTTATTTACTCCTTGATATTGCTACAGGACTCCATGTCTTTAATGATGTCTAGTGTGACTAATTCATCAAAATTTACTGATCCTAATGAGTTCGACAGTTAAGTATTGTCTATCGAAAAGATAGAATTCTGATTTTCTTGTCACACTGATACTATTTATGACAGAATATTTGACTTACAAACTCTCCTAATTGTAAGAGAGTCATCAAAAGCCGATCCGTTCAGAAATATCTCCACGTGGTTTGAAAGACACCTTTCATTTTCCTGAAATTCCAGAAAACGTTAAGGTCTTTGATAAATTCCTCATTTCGTTTAATGTCCCAATACCATTTGCTGCAGTCTCATAGATTAAACTCCGAAAATTGTGTGTGAACACAGCGGACTTCTTCTCCTACCAAGAGTAGTATCAAACAGCTCTCACCACTGTGCACAAAATTAGTTCAGTTTCAAAATAACAACACATCGGAGAGTTGATGGGGTCACTTTGTACATGCCATCGGGATCGATCCTGAAAGTACAATAGTCTAAGAGGCCTAAGCTTCATTTAAGTTGATCGAACAATCTTGTTGGTCATCAACGTTGATGATCTCTGTAGAATAACTGGAGGCCTACTCGAGTAAGACAGGAATGATGTGATGAACTAGCTAACTTCGAAGGCACACCTAGAGGTCAGCATCGAATATAGATAACCTTTAGACCTATCATAGTGCTATGATTGCTTTGAAGACAGTGTAACACAAAAGACGTTATCATAGAAATATGTAAGTAAGAGTGAGTACAGAGAAGATAGAGAGACCACCACTGTATGGGCCAGCCCATGGCATACAATTAACTGATGCGCGTTGGTTGCCCTTGACCTTGACAGGGATTGATGATCTGTTCGGTATTCAGTGACCCAACTACCAGATGATTTAGCCAGAGCTCAGTGACATTTCACTGACCCTACAATACTCCCCCACCAGATCAAACAGCCTTTTGAATCGGTAACAAGCATGTTGGGAGTATTTGCACTCCGTAGATTGCCAAACAATTAATATGAATCCTCCGGATATTGATGAGCGGTAAGACAAGTGGAAAGAAGGCGATCGGAAGTGATTGGGAAACAGTGAGTTGTAATATGTTACTAGGACGTTGGTTGAATATAAAGCGATTAACAATAGAAATGATGGAAGAAACATAACGTTTTAAAATTCTATCAAGTCGAGATGAAGTAGATATCTTCGACGCGTAATTGAGTTCCACATATGACCATAAAAATAAAAAAGAATAGATATAGAATGCAATAATAAGGTTGATAATGATTGGCTGCGTTTTTCGAAGTCTTGCTCACCTGTGTAGATCACCAACGTTGATGATCTCTGTAGCCCAGTTGTTACGGTTAAATAATGTCCAACGTCAACCTTCAAGCCATAGCGTAAAAACTTGTATTAGCATGTATATCTCGACAGTATAGCGAGGCCAACATAAAACTGAAAACACAAGTCTAAGACTCAGGAAGCATAGAAGAGCAACCTTAACATCATTGGATAGTTGCTTTGTCTCCAATTATAAAATGCCTCAGGTGGACTGGATGTTCCACTTCATAAAACCGGGTGGATCAAAATCATCTCCCTCACATGTTTGCTGGTGAGTGACACATTCCTCCCTCCTTTTGCTGCGACAAGTCCATTGAAGGCTATTGGTGGAATAAACCTTGACATTAGTTTTCATTCTACGTAGATGCATCTCCATATCTTTTGCAAAATTTTCTTCCTGAATCTTCATCTTCAGTAATATATAAATGTTCATCTAATTTGCAATTCCTTCATAACTGTTGTTACTGTTTTGTTAATCCTCATTAATCTGACAAAAAGCATATATATTTGTTCTAAATAATTATTACTACGGTTTTAAGGGTATTTTAAGCAGCTAACGATAGTCCATGAACTAAATGAATTATGGTGTTTAATACACACATGCTAAGTTCACATAATTGCGTTCTCATTTTGGAACACAACATCTGACTGGGCAAGTGACTGTCAAACTCACGAGATCGATTCTATCGGTTTAATTGTTCTCGGTTATCCGACTAATTCACATACCTAGTATGTGAATCCTTCTAACATCCATTTGTTTGATTACCTGTCTATCTAACTATATGACTGTCACATTCCATCACTACACTAATCGTTAACTACCTGAGATACATTAACTAAATGACTTTCTGATCACTATACTCATTTCAATACAATGCATATTATACCAGTCTAATGTAGTCTTGAATTTGCTTCACTACAATACAATTACTGGACATTCCACGACCAGTGTTATCCCTATTCTAATACAATTGCTGGTGATTGTAAGTGTCAGTGTTATTCCAATGCCGTTTTTTATTTTAATGGGTTTCAATTAACTCCCTCTGTAGCTCTTCTAGAGTTACTGCTGGGCATGGGGTTAGTGTCCCCATCCCGTAGAAAACTAACTCGCTAAAAAACGCTTACCAGAAAAAAATAACTCAAACCATTTTAACTCTACCCTGTGAGTTAGAAGGTCTTCATTCAGAAGAATTATGACGCTTCATGGTGAAAGCCAAGTTCCTTCGAAAGCCACGAGGCCAATGCCCTTCTAACAACCAGAGCAAAAATTTTTATAGGTACATGGAACGTCCGAACAATGTGGGAAACCGGGAAGACCAGTCAAATAGCAACGGAAATGAGGAGATACAACTTGGCAGTACTGAGAATCAGCGAAACCAATTGGACCCAAGCTGGACAACAAAGGCTAAATACGGGAGAGATGCTGCTATACTCCGGTCATGAAGAGGAAAATGCTCCACACACTCAGGGAGTCGCTCTTATGCTGTCCAAAGTAGCACGAAATGCACTTGTAGGATGGGAATCTCACGGATCCAGAATCATCAAAGCATCAAAGAAGGAGGGGATCTTAATGAATATTATCCGATGTTATGCACCCACCAATGATAGCAACGACGACATTAAAGATCAATTCCACGAGCGGCTGCAGTCAATCATTGAGAAGTGCCCAAGAAACGACCTCACCATTCTAATGGGAGATCTAAATGTCAAAGTCGGAATAGACAACACTGGACATGAAGATATCATGGGACGACATGTACTGGGAAAGAGAAACGAAAATGGAGAAGGATTCGCAAATCTATGTGCATTCAACAAATTGGTCACTGGAGGCACAATATTTCCACGCAAACATATACGCAAAGCTACATGAATCTCACCGGACCACACTACAGAGAACCAGGTAGATCATATTTGCTTCAATAAAAAATTCCGAAGGACAATGGAAGATGTGAGAACCGGGAGAGGAGCTGATATAGCTTCAGATCACCACCTAGTTGTGGCCAATTTGAAACTGAAGCTAAAAAAGAACTGGACAAGTGGACAAACAGCAATACAAAGGTTCAATACAGCCTTCCTTCGAGGTACTGACAAACTCAATGAATTCAAGATAGCTCTCAACAACAGGTTCCAAGCCTTACAGGATCTACTGAAGGAAGAAGAAACTACTATGGAGGACAACTGGAAAGGCATCAAGGAAGCATTAACTTCAACGTGTCAAGAGGTTCTGGGTCTAAAGAAATACCATCATAAGGAATGGATCTCTACAGAAACGCTGGATAAGATCAAAGAACAAGAAGGCAGCAATAAACAACAGCCGAACACGAGCAGAGAAAGTTCAAGCAAAAGCTGAATACATAGAAGCAAACAAGCAAGTGAAGAAGAGCATTAGAGCCGACAAGAAGAAATACGTGGAAGAACTAGCAACGACGGCAGAAAAAGCTGCTAGAGAAGGAAATATGAAACAGCTTTACGATACAACGAAGAAACTATCAGGGAAATACAGTAAACCAGAGATACCGGTCAAAGACGAGGAAGGCAGGCCGATCACCGAAATTCATCAACAGCGGAACGGATTGGTAGTATACTTCGAGGAAATCCTGAATAGGCCAGCTCCAATGAATCCACCGGACGTCGAAGCAGCACACACAGATCTTCCTATGTATGTCAATCCACCACCGACGGAAGAAATCAGAATGGCCATCGGACAAATCAAGAACGGGAAAGCAGCAGGACCCGACAACATATCAGCTGAAGCACTGAAGTCAGACATCGAAGTAACTACAAACATGCTTTACCTTCTATTCAAAAAGATTTGGGAGGAGGAACAAATGCAGATGGACTGGAAAGGACACCTTATCAAGATTCCAAAGAAAGGAGATCTGAACAAATGTGAAAACTAAAGAGGCACCACACTACTGTCAGTACCAGAGAAGGTCTTTAACAGAGTTTTGCTGAACCGAGTGAAAGATGCAGTAGATGCCCAACTTCGAGATCAACAAGCTGGATTCCGTAAGAATCGATCGTGCACTGACCAAATTGCAACACTACGGATCATCGTCGAACAATCAGTTGAGTGGAACTCGTCACTATACATCAACTTCATTGATTATGAAAAGGCATTCAACAGTGTAGATAGGAGGGCATTATGGAAACTTCTTCGACACTACGGAGTTCCTGAGAAGATTGTTAATATTATCCGGAACTCATACGACGGACTGCAGTGCAAGGTCGTGCATGGAGGACAGCTGACAGATCCATTCCAAGTAAGGACCGGAGTCAGACAAGGCTGTTTACTCTCTCCCTTCCTCTTTCTTCTGGTGGTCGACTGGATTATGAAGACCTCGACATCTGAAGGAAAACACGGAATACAATGGACAGCTCAGAATCAATTAGACGATCTGGACTTCGCAGATGACCTAGCTCTTCTATCCCGTACACACGAACAAATGCAGATAAAGACAGCCACTGTAGCAGCAGTCTCTGCATCAGTAGGCCTCAGCATACACAAGGGGAAAACCAAGGTCCTCAAATTCAAAGCGGAAAACAGCAATCCAATCACTCTTGATGGCAAAACTCGGGAAGATGTAGAGTC